CAAGTGGGGAGTTGATACAACTTTCACAAGCAAGAGCCACTTTGGTCTACTTGCTGTGAGGTGTCTCAGCTACGCCTACATGGGTTGGGGGTCCCCCCTTTTCTTTTCTTTTTGGCTGTGCTGTTTGGTCTGCACTGATCACCATTATTTAGGACTCGAAATGATTAAGTGACAAGTGTTTTACAGTGTGGGAGCTTGGGAGTAACTCTTAGAGGGAATATCTTCGATAAGATTTGCAAGGGTTTTGGCTTTGCTTGACCGTCCTTTTTCCAGTTCCTGCTCTCATTAGCGATTCATCAAGAGCGCTTTTTCCATGGGATTTATTTTCGTTGACTCACATATTGCGTAGTCTGAACTCTGATATCAATATCATTGTGGTAATTTAATTTCCCGAAGCTGCAAGATTTTGCAGTTTTTAATTCCCGGGTGCAGATACTGATAATTATATAGACTTAAAATAGAATTAAAGTCGATGTACCAAGCGCTTAAGGGCCGTTGCAATCTATAAATCAATTTTATATTCGAGAAACTCTTTAGTCTCGTCTAATAGACTATGTCCTTGGCAACACGATTTACCGTAATATATGTAGAGGCTGTAACAAGTTTGTAATGTTGGCGGGGACTAGCTCATGAACTATTTTGTTGAGTGCCATAATTTCGTTGACTTTTTCTGCAAAGTGCCCCTTGAAAACATCATATACTAGTAGAGTTTTCTGTGCCTCCGGCAGACCAAGGAGAACCTTTCTGTCGTTAACTTACGGCACAATAAAGTTCTCATAGTTGTCATATTCTAGACAAAAAGTTCGAATTTTTGTAAAAAATTCAACGGACTTTAAATTGGACGGACCTTAAATGAACGGACTTTATTTGAACGGACATTGAGATGAACGTTAAGGCCTCCAGCGTTCAATTAATGTCCGTCCAAATAAGGTCCGATAAGGTATATGCTTTTGTTAAGGATTGTGTTAGGGTTACGGTTGGGATCAAATTAAAGGGTTATGGTTTCGAATAGTCGTTCAGGACCAGCTAACGAATTGTATCACGTTGCGACCCCTGCACCCTTTATCGTCCTGACGATACGAGGGGAGCCGTGCACTTCGTGCGCGGTGGGTCATACAACGTATGACAACTAACGAACGGGTTGAAAAACAAAAAAGTCACGTGGCAATCGAGTGTAGATCAAAGTGATTAATCATTATCCTCATGCACGGTTTCATTAATAATTAATAAATTAAATGAAATGAAATGAGGATCGCGACGTGAGACACTGCAACAAGCTAAATGCAAATAAAACTTTATGATTTAGTAAAAAATGTTACAAAAACCTTATTATCAAACTTTAAACAAATCCAAAGTAGTTACTAAAAACATCCTAAAGACCTGATAAGTATACTTAAAAGACTTGCAGAACTAAAAACTAAAAACCTAAACAAATAAAAATCGCAACACGAGACTAGTTATTTTGCTTTTTAAACTTCGATAATAAAGCTATCGTTGTTTAAATTTTATACAACTGCAGCCATGTTATAAATATAATTATAAAGATATTATCTAGCTTGCTAGTAGCTATTGCTCGCTTCTCTCAGGAAGCTTGAAAAGAGCACCGCACAGAAACTGGCGTGCCAGGTAAATTAAGTTATTGTTTTAAAAATTTAGATTCTCAACAGTTTATTATATTTCCGCGTATTTTAATTTGCCCAGGTGACTTGTTTTCAATTGCATAAACGTTGTGGTGTTGTAGTTGTACTCTTATCAGCCAAATGTTTACTGTATTTGTGATTTGGCTGATGACCAGAATATTTTTCCAGTTATACTTATATAACAGCAACTTTATAATTATAGTTGGGTCCATGCCGGGAATACAATAATATTTATAATATTATATCATTAATTATAATAATATAATATAATAATATTCCCGGCAACATTGAACATATTTTTAAAACATTTCGATGTTCGGGCGTAAAATGATTTTTGCACGCTTGTGATGTTTTAGTTTAAAGTTAAATATACCTATCGGTTTACGTTGTTAAAATTTTATTTAAAACGTGTAGGGGGCCATCTACTTAGGACGTCTGGCAAATAGCCATAGGGAGGGGGGATGGTTTTGGAATTTCGGACAAATGTGGACAGGGGCCGTAGGGGGTGGTTTCTGAAAATGTTGGCAGAATTAACGAAAAAGTCCCATTTATTTTATCTCTTTGACACTGATTACTTTGTAAATTTAAATCCCTATATTTTGAACGAGAAATCGATTCCCAGAGCAGATCATGAGAGCCGCGACACTCGCATATTCTCCTACTGCCTTAAAACTTATTCGAATGGATGGCTACTTAATTACTTAAATTTAACTGTGCTATTGCTAAACTTGTTCGACACTAAATGTATTATATTGTCTATTTTAACTTTAAGTAACTTCACATTTTTATATTAATAATGGATTTGAGTTGGTTATATTTGTACTTTTAAAAGTAGCTGGAAATCCGGACATCCGGGGGAGGGGGCCGGGGTGGTTTTGAAAATTCGGACACACCCGGACAGGAGGGGGTGGTCGGAAAATTTGCGATTTTGGCGGACGTCCTAAGTAGATGGCCTCTAATTTAGATTTTCAACAGTTTGTTATGTCAGCTATTTTAATTTGCCCATGTGACTTATTTTGAATTGCATAAACGTTGTGGTGCTGTACTTTTATTAACCTTATCAGCCAAATGTTTACTGTATTTTTGATTTGGCTGATGACCAGAATATTTTTCCAGTTATAACAACAAGTTTATAATTATAGTTGTGTCCATGCCGGGAATCACAAGTGCTTGTCCTATGTGCGTTGACGGAGAGGACTGTCCCACACTTTGATCTCGGACAGTGCCCGGCTATTGCCCAAATTAGAGGTCAATATTATTTCCGGGACTACAACCTCTCCGTCAATATATTAGTATAAGTGCCAGAGGAGCTGGACCAGACTTGTGTAACATAGCGACTACTCACGAGTCACGAGTCGTCTTAGTTCGCCTTTCTCTTCTACTTCACTATATACACCCAGCCACCACTTAAGTGTTCATCTATGACACATCCCGCCACACTTACCATCATCCTTGATTACACATTCTGATTCCAAGGGCATCCTCCCATAGGACTGCCATACCCCAGAGGTAGGCAAAGCATCCTTTCGTGGGCCACCCAGGCCACTGGCCAGCCTCTCTAAAAAATTGTTAACATATTTTTTAAATGCCGGGAATAATATGTTACTAAGCGGGCTCAGCCTGCTTATTCTTTATGAACATAATCTTTATGAACATAATCTTTATGAACATAATAGCCTGGGGTGAGGGGTCCCCTGGTAAGGGCCAAGGGGTCCCCAGGTGAGAGGTGGGGGGTGAGGGGTGAGGGGTGAGGGGTGAGGGGTGAGGGGTGAGGGGTGAGGGGTGAGGGGTGAGGGGTGAGGGGTGAGGGGTGAGGGGTGAGGGGTGAGGGGTGAGGGGTGAGGGGTGAGGGGTGAGGGGTGAGGGGTGAGGGGTGAGGGGTGAGGGGTGAGGGGTGAGGGGTGAGGGGTGAGGGGTGAGGGGTGAGGGGTGAGGGGTGAGGGGTGAGGGGTGAGGGGTGAGGGGTGAGGGGTGAGGGGTGAGGGGTGAGGGGTGAGGGGTGAGGGGTGAGGGGTGAGGGGTGAGGGGTGAGGGGTGAGGGGTGAGGGGTGAGGGGTGAGGGGTGAGGGGTGAGGGGTGAGGGGTGAGGGGTGAGGGGTGAGGGGTGAGGGGTGAGGGGTGAGGGGTGAGGGGTGAGGGGTGAGGGGTGAGGGGTGAGGGGTGAGGGGTGAGGGGTGAGGGGTGAGGGGTGAGGGGTGAGGGGTGAGGGGTGAGGGGTGAGGGGTGAGGGGTGAGGGGTGAGGGGTGAGGGGTGAGGGGTGAGGGGTGAGGGGTGAGGGGTGAGGGGTGAGGGGTGAGGGGTGAGGGGTGAGGGGTGAGGGGTGAGGGGTGAGGGGTGAGGGGTGAGGGGTGAGGGGTGAGGGGTGAGGGGTGAGGGGTGAGGGGTGAGGGGTGAGGGGTGAGGGGTGAGGGGTGAGGGGTGAGGGGTGAGGGGTGAGGGGTGAGGGGTGAGGGGTGAGGGGTGAGGGGTGAGGGGTGAGGGGTGAGGGGTGAGGGGTGAGGGGTGAGGGGTGAGGGGTGAGGGGTGAGGGGTGAGGGGTGAGGGGTGAGGGGTGAGGGGTGAGGGGTGAGGGGTGAGGGGTGAGGGGTGAGGGGTGAGGGGTGAGGGGTGAGGGGTGAGGGGTGAGGGGTGAGGGGTGAGGGGTGAGGGGTGAGGGGTGAGGGGTGAGGGGTGAGGGGTGAGGGGTGAGGGGTGAGGGGTGAGGGGTGAGGGGTGAGGGGTCCCCAGGTAAGGGGTCCCCAGGTAAGGGGTCCTCAGGTAAGGGGTCCTCAGGTAAGGCGTCCCTTGGTAATAAGGTAAGGACTAAGGGGTGAGGGTCCCCAGGTAAGGAATGTATGTGTCATACTAGGACTAGAAGTATGTGACATATCACATGAGACATCCTATTCCTACCATTACCAACGTATCAGGCTCAACTGGATACATAACCGGAATTGGTACTGAGCAGCAACTTGATCATCCGCATCGAGTCGATAGACTTGCAGTTTTATTCCCCGCCTGATTAATTTCGTGAAGCGATATTTGCAATTTGCATAGTCAAACTTTGGTAAATTGTTACAATTTCCAGGCCGCCTCCCATGGACGTGGGCCACGTTGATCCCAGCTCCTCTTCAGTTGCAGTTACACTCTGTCCCAGCCCCTACTTATGTGAACCGCATGTTAACTGGTCGAAGCCTTAGTATTAATGCTTTTCATGCAAACAAGTTAAAACGAATCTTTTATGTCATGTATCCTGGGTTTGGACAGAATATGCCCGCTTGCGTTACATTACATAATTCTCAATAAATGTATAATAGATTTGTAGTGCTGTAATTAGTATATTTCACCTTATCTCTTTAAAATTTTGTACGCGTCAGACTGATCATCATTAATTTACTTAAACCCTTTACTAGGATCATTATAAATGCAACATGGCAAGATTTCTGTCGAAGCTAAAGCACGTGATAAAGATCAATGACATAACCCCAGCACTCCTTGAGAAATGGGGGCCCGAGGAGTGTGCCACGAGGAGTGTCTTGGCCACAGCCTATCGTCTGACTCATTACCTGAACTGGGATGATCTCATATACGGCCACATAACCACCAGGATCCCAGGAAACGAGGACCATCTCCTTATTAACCCGTACGGGATACATTACACCGAGGTCACAGCGAGTAACCTTATAAAAATCAATTCCGCAGGCGAGCTGGTTGATCAGGGGTCCGCTAAGTTCCCGTTTCAACCCACAGGAGCTGTCATTCACTCAGCCATCCACACAAACAGACCTGATCTGGGGTGCCTGATGCACATTCACTCGGAGCCTGGTATAGCCGTGTCTGCAGCAGTGGATAAAATCGAGCCCATCATTCAAGCGAATGTGGAGTTGGGGGAAATCAGCTACCATGACTTTAGAGGAGTGATATTTAATTCGGAGGACAAGGAACCACTAAGCAAGGACTTCCCAGCTCCTTCCAAGACTTTGATAATGCGAAACCACGGCCTCCTCACAGGAGGAGAAACTATCGAGGAGGCGTTCAACAAGATGCACTTCCTCCACCAAGTGTGCCAGTGTTATGTTAACTGTGGATACATTCACACCCCCATACCGGCTAGGAAACTCATCAACCAGCAAATTCTGGAGAGTTCCGTCTACGGGAATGAAGAGTGCAGGTACGATACAGCTCCAGGTGTGCAAGAATTCGAGGCATTGGCTCGATTGCTTGATTACCAAGGCTTGGAAACTGGGTATCCGTACAGCGAGGCTTCCAAACATATCCTCGAACGAAACATGAAGTGAGCACAAAAAGTACACAAGATGAATACTGAACAGAAACATTTTAATGAACAGATCACAGTTAGAATGCATTCGTTTGGTTTAAAATCTGAAAATGAATAAAAACAATATTTAATAAAAAGTGTTCGGATTCGATTTGAAGCTTTAAAGGTTTAAGCCTAGAAAATTTGATTGTTTAAAACTGATGACTAATAGCTGCTCATAACTTTGTTGCATGTCTTTACCTTGATTTAAATCTTGGTGTTGTTGATAATGTAATTTTTACTGGAAGAAAATGACAGCGAACTGTTTTGGTAGTCATTCAGGTCCACCAAGAGAACGTGTTTAAAAAGTCAACTGACAGTCGAGTATTATAATCATCATCCCGACTTTTACGCACCAAAAGGAAACTCACTAATCATTCCAAAAAGGTATAACAAATTTGGTATTGTAAAATTTGGTATTGTGAAGAAGCTCACATTTTCAAAAAAACAATGATGCAAAAATGTTGAAAATCCGATCAAGTTTAATTTTATTGTGCACCTCTTATTAAATTTAAATTTAGTACATGTCAGGATCAACACAATAGTTTTTTCTGCTCAGTATAAGCTAATTATTTTCCTTTTTTAAATAGAGAAGCGGGACCTAGGTGGCCCACAAAAGGATAGTATGAAGATGCCCTGCTGCCTTTGGGGTGCGGCAACCCTCCAGGAATTAGAAGATGCCGGGGGAATCTATGAACAGCTACGAGTACGAAGGGGGTAAAGTGGCAAGTAGAATGAGGGGAAATTGATAAAATTAAATATCCGAATGCCGCGCCGAGAGGATGATAAGTATAACCACTACCAGTACCAGAGATAATGAGCTAAAACAGCACGAGAAAATGCATTAGGTCATTTCGGTTTATATTAGTCCAGTTCCTCGGGCAGTGGGCACAAGAAGGTGCTTAGTTATAGTGCGAGTTGGCAATAGTATTAATATGTTCATGGTTGTCAAAGACGTCGTTGGTGGTGAGGTAATATTCTAAAATAATCCTGAAAGTATTGCCCTGGCAGTTGTGCAATACAGTACCCAGCTTGAGCTTTTGCTAAATGTGCAATATCTGGGTACTGTCCAAGAAAGTGCGAGACAGTCTCTTCTTCATTGCCGCACGTAGGACAGGCAATTATGGTGATTGATTTGCAAATGGTACGGAGGTGATTGTTCAGACCACCGTGTCCCGCGCTTGATAAGGTGCACTACAATTTTGTATATCTGTTGTTCTTACTGAGGATGGTGGCATCATCAGTAAGCTATTTTAGGTTCAAAACTCATTAAGTGTTTGAGTAGAGTGTTACTGTTAGTGTTAGGGTTTTAAATAGTCTCTCAGGGCCATATACTTCTATTTTGGAAAACGTGTTTAAGTCAGTCACGTGATAGTCGAGTGTAAAGTTATTAATCAGATCATCCTCGGGCAGCGTTTGACTATTTAATCTAAGTCAGCTTTAATCTCAGTCAAAAGCATAACATTTTAACTAACAACCAAATGAACATTTTCAATTTTATACTGATACTTATAAAGGGCTTCTTTGGAACCATATCATGCAGCAGAGTGTCAATAATAATAATATTAGCGTGTCACGCGCAATCGCATATTCGTAATATCAGCTTTAAGCTATAACTCTATTACTATGCGTATAAAATAAACAAATCTTTTATAGATTGCAACGGCCCTTAAGCGCTTGGTACATCGACTTTAATTCTATTTTAAGTCTATATAATTATCTGCACCCGGAAATTAAAAACTGCAAAATCTTGCAGCTTCGGGAAATTAAATTACCACAATGATCACAATGCTGGCAAGCATAACCGTTGCCCTTATATTGACAACACTATTTACCCCCTATACTATTATATCCCCTTTATTGTTTTACAAACATTAAGACTCATCGAAAGTAGTTCAGCAGGTATATTTAAGTTTAAAACATTCTAATTCAATGTTAAAGATGACAAGAATAAGAAATAGTTATGTGGAGGTTTTTAAGAAATTTGTGCAAAATACGCGCCATGGCATGTTATACGAAATTAGGTAAAAACCCAAAATCGCCATATTCAGGTGCCTTAAAAACCATGTTAAAATTGAGTTAGAAATCTGAAACTTTGCAGGGCGTCTAGACCTTGTCCAGGCCAAATCGACTGTAAAAAAATTCATGTTTCAGGAGTATCGGGAAATGGGTTTTATGGAACCCCTGTTTTACAACAGATTGTCGTGATATATATATATATAGACGCTTTTGGCAGTCAATTGTAGCCTACATTTAAGTGTCAGTAGATTCAAAAGTATAAAAGATACAGTCATTTCGAACCACAGGTTTTAAAGATAATTGTTTATACTTTAGTTTAAATTATATCGAAAAATAATTTATTGTCATCATCATCACTTGATGACGTCATCAATTTAAGTGTTTTTAAAACTTGATTTTTGACAAAATAACAATTTTTTAAATCGATTTAACACCATTACGGAGTAATTTTATTCAAAAACTGAGGACATTTTCACCTTAGATAATTGTTCAAGCATTCTGAAAATCTACCGGAAAAGTTTCCTACCTTACTCCTTCATAAAGATATTCGCTATTGAAGTTAGTGCTTTTTTGAAGAATAATTTTATAAAACACAAAAGTTGTGAATTAGTATTCTCTGGTGTTGGACCATCCCTTGGGTTGTGGAGCTCAATTTTGCTTCTTAAAGGTCTAAATTGTGTTATAGGCTAGTTTTAAAGTTGAAAATCTAAAAGTTGCACACGTGGGGACACGCCCAAATTGATTTAAAATAGCTAAAATCACTGAAAATCGTTATTTTCACGATTTTGATCAACTTTGGAGTCCCGTTATGATTCAAGTTCTTTTTGAAATCTTCTGAAACTTTGCATGCTTATCAAACTATATATTAAATACCACTATGCAAAAATTTACGGTGATTCAATATTGTTTGCGCACGCAACGTCCGCTCAAAGTTTGCACGTGCGAAAGGTGAGAATTGTGCTCATTCTTGATTTCGAATATATTCTGCTTTCCCACGATATTTAAATGGCATTATATATGAATTAAATGCCAACTTGAATGAGTGTAAAGTGCCATATTCAGTCTGTTATCGACAGATATACCTACCTAAACACAAGGGAATGTTTTTAAAGGTAAAATTTCGAAATCGTTGAAATTACCTCCTTATTAATGAAGTTTCGACTGTGTAAATTATCCTGACATTATAATCAAAAAGAGATGATATTTGACCAAAACCCATAATCGTGGGTAGAGTGAACCGCTGCCAGTGTCTCTCTTTTCCAAACAAAAGGAAATGATGTTAATTTGAGGAACCGTCCGCAAATGCAAATTGATACCGAGAATGAAATCGGTCGCTCGCTTTTCCCATTCATTCACGGCTTACGAATTGTAATAAAGCTTATTGAATGGGAAAAGCGAGCGACCGATTTCATTCTCGGTATCAATTTGCATTTGCGGACGGTTCCTCAAATTAATATCATTTCCTTTTGTTTGGAAAAGAGAGACACTGGCAGCGGTTCACTCTACCCATGATTATGGGTTTTGGTCAAATAATAATATCAGAGTTCAGACTACACAATATGTAAGTCAACGAAAATAAATCCCATGGAAAAAGCGCTCTTGATGAATCGCTAATGAGTGCGGGAACGGGCAAAAGGACGGTCAAGCAAAACCCTTGCAAATCTGATCGAAGATATTCCCTCTAAGAGTTTCTCCCAAGCTTCCACACTGTAAAACACTAAATCATGTCGAGTCCTAAATAATGGTGATCAGTGCAGACCAAACAGCAAAGCAAAAAAAAAAAGAAAAGGGGGGACCCCCAATCCATGTAGGCGTAGCTGAGACACCTCACAGCAAGTAGACCAAAGTGGCTCTTGCTTGTGAAAGGTGTATCAACTCCCCGCTTGGTTCAGCTAGGCCTGATGGAGTTCACTTCCAATCATTCAATTATACAGTTATATAATATATATAGTATAGCCTTCTGAAGCAGCCCACAAGTGAGCCAGAAAGGAGGTTAAATTATTTTATTCCAGCTGTTGTGAGCCTAATGCTCATTATGAAAGTCGGGAAATAGAGATCAAGTTTCTAGCTGACTCGTTGAAACTGAAAAGACGTTGAAACTGGGATAAAAAACATTACACGAACGCCCAAAAAGATAAACCAATTGATATGAGCAACGTTTAAAATTGAATTTGAACAGCGCTTTAACGTTGTATTTAATTTTATTGTGAATTAAAACCAAATAGACCACATCTGTATCAGTAAGAAGTTTGGAGGCTCTTTGCTAAATGTAAAAGTTTGTAGGGGAGCTGACATTGGGTCTGATCACTATTTGGTAAGAGCACGACTGAGAATGAAGCTTATGTCAGTGAAAAAGAAGCAGGAACGTAAGCTTGAGATTCCTGCTATTGAGCATCTGCGTGATCATTCACTTGTTTCCGAATACAATATTGTTCTGAGAAACAAATTTGACTGTTTGGAACCTGAGGTTGACCTGGAATCAATGTGGGACAACTTCAAGACAACTGTCCAACAAGTTTCCATGGAAATCCTTGGGCAAAGACCTCGAAAAAAGAAGGACAGGCACCAATCTCAGAAGACAAAAGAATTATTGAAGAACCGTAAGGAATTTAAGCGTAAAGACCCTAATTCGAACGCTAATAGGTCAGAGTATTCTAGATTGAATAAGCTCTTTAAAAAAAGTAGCAAGGTGGACGATAACAACTGGGCACGTAGAATGGCCAATGACTTGGAAGAAGCTGCGAGAAAAGGTCAGCAACGTGAGGTATGGCAGAAGATCAATGTCATATCTGGAAAGAAGAAGAAGCAGTCAACTGCAGTTAGAGACGTATCTGGCCAGTTGATTGCCGACCCACATGCCCAGAAAGAAAGGTGGAAAGAGCACTTCTCTAGGCTATTGAACCCTCCTCCGCAAGAGTCCAATATTTCTGACCTAGACAACATCCCTCCGCAACCCAGTTTTGACGACCTTTCCGATTCGGATGAAGCTCCTACAAGAAACGAGATTGTTGATGCCCTCAAAAAACTCAAGAATCACAAAAGTCCAGGAGTGGATGGTATCACCAACGAGCAACTTAAGTATGGACAGGATGGGTTGGTCGATCAACTAGTTGTGTTGTTCAAGAAAGTGTGGGAAGATGAGAAGATTCCTGAGGATTGGTCCAAAGGTGTTATCATCATCGTTGGAAAGAAAGGTGACACCTCTCATTGCGCTAACAACAGAGGCATTACATTAAGATCCACAGCCTCGAAGCTCCTGCAAATGATACTCCTGCGGAGACTTAGCAATGGCATGGAAAAATTCCTCCGGGAGAATCAAAGTGGTTTTAGACAGAATCGCTCATGTATTGACCAGGTTTATTCACTCCGCTGTATTATACACCAATGCATTGAGTATAATATCCCTCTGTATATTAATTTTGTTGATTTTAAAGCAGCTTTTGATTCGATTGACAGGCAGTTCATTTGGAGAAGTATGCAGCACTACGGCTTACCTGACAAGTACATTAGAATTATGAAGGCGTTCTTCACTCACACAGTTAGTGCTGTTAGGGTCAATGGAGAGGTTACAGGTTGGTTTGATGTCAACTCGGGTACTGGGCAAGGTGATATACAGGGACCACCAGTATTCAACTTTTGTTTGAATTTTTCGGCATACCTTATGGAACTAAACAAGGTCATTAGCAAGGGGGCTTTATTACAGCTGCCAGCCCCCGGGGTAGAAGAGAAACATCTCTTGGACACTGATTACGCTGATGACATGGCCATGTTAGATAACTCAAAAGAGGGGCTGCAGGAAACCACTAACCTTCTCTGCAAATACAGTGCCTATGCGGGTCTGAAGATTAATGCTGGCAAAACACAGAGCATGGTTGTCAGCAAAAGTGCATCGCAGAGGCCGTATTCTAAAGACGACACTATGGACATCAATGTGGAAGGTCTCCCAATACAGCAGGTCAGCAATTTCACTTACTTGGGTGCAATCATCAGTGCAAATGGAACAATTGACAAAGAACTATCAGCTCGAATTCAAAAGGCCTCTGGGGCATTCTATCAGCTTAGCAGTATATGGTACAGTCGCAGCATCAAGACTCCAACAAAAATCAGGATTTACAAAGCGGCTGTTCTCACTATACTGCTCTATGGAAGTGAGGTATGGAATACCACACAGACGCAGATGAAAAGATTTGAGGTGTTCCATCATAGATGTCTGAGGAGAATCCTGAAAATCAAATGGTTTTATCATGTATCTAATGCTGAGGTACTTAAGCGGGCTAACATCGCCCCTGTTGATACTTTCGTACGAGCAGCTAGACTCCGATGGTTTGGCCATGTGGTGAGGATGCCAGAAGAAAGAATACCCAACTATCTTCTGCACTGGATCCCAAAGCATGGTAAAAGGTCAAGAGGTAGACCTAGGAAAAACTGGTTGTCATGTGTCCGGGAGGATGCAGCAATCTTCACAGGTGTCGATAACATCACGATAGAAGATGCAGAACAACAAGCTACAGACAGGGCTCACTGGAGAGGTCTAATACACCGGAGAAAGGAGTTACTATGTGGTGCAGGCCACTCCAACGACTAGGAGGAGACCTTTCCAAGTACAAGTAAGTAAGTAAGTAAGTACAAGTAAGTAAGTGAATTAAAATTTCTTAAACGTTTTATAGGCCAACGCCCAACGTTGGTTAATTTCAAAGGTTAATTTTAAACGTTGAACTATTTCATGCACGAAAACCCATCTGATGAAGATGATATGCGATATTAGACACTGATCATGTACACATCTTTTAACATTTTTTACTGCTTAACGACTGCTTTTCTTACTTAATGTATAAAAATGGATTTAAAAATAATTTTCTGAAATAAAAAAGCGTTTTAAAAAATTATAAAAAAAATCAGATTTTTGATGGTTTTGAGTTCCTTCTAGCGTTCATATTAATGTCCGTTCATAATTATGTCCGTTCATTTGATGTCCGTCCAAATAAGGTCCGATAAGGTATAAAGAAATGTTTGTCAATCTTGTTAGATATATTAACATGGTACACATTGTTAGTATTGTCATGGAATATCTTGGTATAACATTCCGAAATACTACAGAGTATTTTAAAGTACCATAGTAGTTTAGACTATTTTAGAGTATCAACTCACTCTGAGTACAGTAAGAAGTTTTAATTTGAGTATCCCTAGTACTCAAGTACAGTACCTTTAGAGTACACCAAGGACTCAGTTAGAGTATACGTAGTACTCAAATAGAGTACCTTTAGAGTCCATCAAGGACTCAGCTAGAGTATGCCTAGTACTCAATTAGAGTACCTTAGAGTACCTTGGGATTACTGTATATAAGGACGAACAGAATGTTGCTCGGAAGATTTCGAGATAGTTGACTCTGACTTGGTGTCAATTTGGATCTAGGGATGAGTTCTCTATACAACTGAGTGTTGTTGATATTTGATTATTGTTCTTTGTTAATCAACTTGTTTCCTTTGGTACTGACAACTAAAACTAAAGTTGGATACACGGGATCTACGATTTAAAGGAAGAAAACCCGGAGAAGCAATCCAACAATCTTTTCCATAGAGATTAAGACGACTATGAACCCAACAATTATGGACACAAAAATCAATAAATACAATTAATTGAAGCATTGTTGGATTTCATGATATGCGAACAACTGTCACAATTTGAAAAGTACTAGACAATGCACATAATATGTTATTCAGTCACTGCGACAATCAATAGGTTTAGATTAAAAATTGATCGCATATTGTTCATTTGGGAACCGGGAGTCGGAACAACTCAATAATATGTAACATTTTAAAATCCACCACTAATTGCTTTTTGACAATGACATGATCCATTGCAGGCCTCATGTCTGTCACAATTTTATTTAAAATTCTAATGAAGCCTATAAAGCTATAATCAAAAATGTACACATTATTTTTGTAGCTGTAATAAAAGCTGTATCAAGTTTAATTATAACGCAGTTACAAATTAATGGTAAATGAAAGTTTGATTAAAGGCTATCAATGAATCCTGAAATAGAACACTACCTCCAGGGGGCTGAGCTCCTCTCCTCACGACAGGATGTATTCTGAGGACACGTCGGAGCCCTCTTCAACATCCAGAATGGTTTAGGCTCCCACGGTGAGAAAGTGAGTTTATATTTAGGATTACTGTAGGTCATGAAAGAGGCCCGGGTAACCTGTTTCAACACTGGCGAGGTAATTTCGTGACCCAGCAGTTCGGTCCAATGTTCCTCTGTGCCCATCTCTGTAGCGTTCAGATAGGATTTATAGTAATTCGACTTGAGGAAGTTAACCTTCTCTCTCAGCTCTGTCACGTCTTCGATGGTAAGGTTGTTGGGATGTTTGCTCAGTTCTGATAAGGTTAATCTGGGGAGTTGGACCAGGTCCTTCCTCCGCTCATTCAGAGACCACACGTGGAGATTGTTTGAGTGAGCCATGGTCTTCAGGTGCTGGTTTTTCAGTTCGCATGGTGATGCTATCTGACTCCACTTCAATCTCAGCTTCTTTCGGCGTTTCTCTCGTAATTCGAAAGCGTCTTGGTTTCGTTCGCCGACAGGAGGGTAATCTCCCGGGTAAATGGGAGCAAGCATAAACGGTGATTTTGGCCGCTGATCGTGGCAGCTTTCCAGGAGTACCTTGAGATTTTTGCCGCTCTTTACAGCATTTAAGTAGTGGCTGAGAATGTCTGGTATTTTGAGGAGTGTCTCCATATACCGGTTCTGAACGTCGTTGGTTGTGTTCTGAGTTTTTGAGTGTAAAAAGACGTGTTTCAGTATCCGGGAGGTAATCTCCTTGCTAGCTCTCTGAGCAGGGCTTTTATCACTGTTTTCCCTGCAGTTGTTGTACATTAGATACCTTTCCATCGCAACTGCGTCTACTAAAAGCTCATTTATATCTATCTTCTGGTTTTCGGTTGCTAGGTTGTAGAGCAGTGCGCCAATCAGACCTTCAGTCAGGTGCACTCCAATCATCATAAGCACTTTGTTCATCATGACAGGATTAGCCATGCAATTGTTTACAGAGGAATGGAAAAATGATGCCTGGGCCTCTGAAAGGTCAAACTCGTCGACGAGTTTATTGATTCCATCATTATCATACTGGCAAATGAGGTCATTAGTCCAGCAGAAATGATCTGTGGGATCAGTAGCTTTATTTTCCATCGATGGTCCGGTCCCAAATCGCGATCGTCTACTCACATGCTGAAAACAAGACAATTATGAAGTTCGAGATAAAAGCGAAAACATTAAAAGTGCATTTTCTAAAGTTACATTGAAAGTTGAAATATCATACGTCTGATGGACTGCAACAAATCTACATAAATCGTTCAAGTTTAGGATTGATGTACATGACAGATACCTGAACTCAAGATAAGCAGTTGTGCTCAGAAAACAAATGTGTTTTCTTGAGAGAGATCCAATCGTTAAAGACACAAATGGTGATTTAAATGTTGATAATCTGCACGTGCAAATTCGCTGATGGTTCCATGGAAACAAGAGTGACATGCGGGTTTTTAACCTCTCGATCGTAGGTCAAATCTTCCACTTTAAGAGAAAACGTAGGAGAGGCTCGTGTAGACGTAAAACTATGGAGGAATAATCAATCAGTAGGAAGACTGTCCAGCAGTAATTTCCTCGAAAGCTGTTTCTGCGAAAGATTTTGTAAATTTCGGCGTGTTCACGCGCCGCGCGTCATCATACTGGGAGCTTTGGATGGATCTGACCTATCTTTAATAACAATGTTAGGCTTCGCGCGTTCCATAAAATAGGTTTAGCTTTTGGTCTTTCTCAGTGGTCCCTTCTTTGTAATTTTTTGCGACAGACATCTCAAAATTAACACCTTGAAAATCATAAGTGCGATATGAAATATCTACTTTTTAAGTAAGTTATTACCAAAAAGCCTGTAGCATTTACTTTTAAAATAGTTTTTCAATGAACTGACCCTTCAGAGCTTAAGCAGTAGATCAGCGATATTTATCCTAATCTCATCACGGATTCAGCGATTAATGATCTGCTGTTATGAAGGGCAAGAGACTTTAGCGAAGTACGCCAAAACATGATGCAAGTGCATTCGCTAATGGTCTGGCCGGTCTATTTTCAGTATACTTTTTACTGCAGTTTCAACCAGTAACTACCACGAATTTCCACAACAAGCGCATATTATTACTACAGTTATGATTATCTTTTGTAGACACTATTTACGAATGTGCAGACTCCATTTAGGAATCTTTATGTCTTTATGTTATGTCTGCAGTTGTCGTTTCACAGATATTTTGAGACGTGGATATTTCTTTCAAATATTTTCTTTGCCGTCATGATCTCTTCCCATGCTATGAAGAATGCGCATGCAGAATTCAAGATAAGATAATTCAGTAAAATCACTGATAATACATTGTACTATCAACTTTTTCACAAGAGCAGTTACTGCACCACGGAGCACCACCCAAACCCAGGCCTCCATTTCAAATCAGGATATGACTGAACAATACAAATTATTCCCGTGTCAGGGTGAACCAGGTACTTGAGAACACATTATCAGATCATTCGCATCATTAATTGTCACCCATAACACTCAATTTGTCCAACAACTTGTCAGAATGCTAATTTTGTGCTGGACACGGCCAAATCCCTCATGATACGAAATAGAGCCGCGTTCGCGACGCTCCCTGATCATATCTCATAGTCACAGTTTAAGTTTACTTTCACAGTTACGTCACAGCAAAACAAGCTGAGATTATAATCAGTGAGAAGTGATGACGTCACATTGTCAGGCGGAGTCTTCCTGGGACGGCAATGCACGAGAGTAGACTATAGTGAGACTGATTCTTCCTGTAACCGCCAGGCGGCGGAATAGTGCTTACTATTTACTTGCTCAATATGACATGACACATCATATTGTGTGATATATTTGTTAAAATACAAATGAGCTGGGGTAATGCAGGGTTGATTACTGGGGATGATTCTGATGTAGCGGAGTTAAATGTGGCAGTTTACAGTTTCTTGAAATGAGTCTATAATTTGGTCATCAGTTAGCGCCAAAATTAAATTGATACAAGTAGCAACATGGATGGAGGTCACTCGTAAATGTATCTGATTAAAGTATATGTGCTAGCTAATTTCAGAGGTGACAAAATAGCTGCTACTTTTTAAACGTTTTTACTTACTTTACTCCTACTTAAAAGCACACTGTTAGAACTAGGAAAGACACAAATTCGCACAACAGAACTCAACATGCCCGAACATGCCCTAAGAACAAAACAACTACAAAACCACCTGTCATCGAGTCGCCCCTTATCGGAGATTAGAATAAAATTCCCATCAGATTCTCCCATCAGATTTTCCCATCAGCTTCATGGGAATTGAGCAAAAGATACAAAAATTCCCACTCAGACACACTAAGAAGAATATACTTCTTAATTGACCATTTAAAACTTTCAGATCAAAGTTGTGGAGAATAGTTTGAATAAGTTATACTAAGACATTTCTTTTTTTGGTAAAACAAGAAACAAATCTATGTTTATTTTGTTGTATCCTGGGACAAAACTCTTTGTTTCAAACGCGCAGCACAGTAATTCCACTAGATTCAGTACTGTTTATTTTGTTCCCATCCAATTTGTCATCTCAGATTGTCTGTATCGGACCTAGATCTGTATCTCATACCAAATAAGGAAACTGCAGGGCCAAAGACCGCTCTCTTTCTTTCCGCCAAAAGGACAATTTGTCAGGAAATCGTAGATTTCATCTCTGATGTAGCAGTATTGAATTTAGCATCTAATCTTTATTTTTAACTGTACATGATTCATTCATGATTTTCTCTTCATTGAGGCACACCCCTGGTGCAGCATTGTACAAGCATTGCGTCAGCGCGGTTCATTGCGTCAGCGCGGTGCTAACATCCGCGCACATGTCCGGTTGCGCACCAGTACGTTGCGTCAGATATCTCCACCGTTTAGGAGACATATTTATGTCTGGCATAGCAATAAAATGTCGGCACTATGTAAGTACGCACTGTAAATATGTTATAACACGTGATTAATCTACCATGTTATCACTGTAGTTTCTACTCAGCCAATGAGATGTCCCCGCGCTGTCACGTGACGTAAACAAACGTTAAACCCACCCTTCTCCCGTACTCATCCGGGCATCTGCAATTTGTCAACTCTCCGCCCTCATTCCAACATCAAGAGCGTCCCTCCTGGGATCATACTAATTAAATACCGTGCAATTGCTACGAAATCGTTACAATCAGCCTGTCACGTGTCAGAAGTCCTCTGGAATCCGGTCACGTGACCAAGGATCAGCCAATCCGGGGAGGAGCTTTGTAATTGAATAGAATTGAATAAAAGTGAGGTGTTAAGCACCCAAGGTGGCGGGGCCAGGCAGTGACAAGCACGAGAAGGAGTTCGTTTCTGTCTGAGATCAGAGCAAAGCAAGCAAGTCATCGTACTATATCCTGTCACGTGGTGTGTCACGTGGGCACAGTGCTTCATGGGAAATTCCACAGTCGACTTTTGGAAACATGTTCCTTGTAAGATAGGTCTACAGCAGTTCATGAGCCGTGAAGATACACTGAAAGAACAATAGCTGTATGGAAAGTGGAGTATGTACCATTAGTCTTGTGGTATCTTGCTTATACTCAGCCAAGTGAAGCAGCCAGCCAAATTCCAATAGCTGCGATAGCAGACAGTTGCTAACGGTATTAAATCAGATTTGCTAGAATTTTGTCAACTACATACGCATTATTAGTGCCTGCTGAAGATAAACCCCTCCGAGGGGGCAAAATCACAGTTTTGCAAATATATTTCGGTCAATAACAATAAAATGTGTCATGATTCAAAAATACAGCCCAACAATTTGTACCTATTTTGACAGTTATACAACCCTTTCAGAAATAGTATACAAATATAGCTTCTTTTTTACTTTTCATGACAGGTATTATTTTCTCTCTGAGTAAGGTTTCTATAGTGTTACATGTACTGCCATGGTTACCGTGTCCAAGGGAAACAGGTTAATATCTCGTAAAACACAATATGTTGTACACAGTCGGCACAGGGCAGGTTATTTTCAGATAGTTGATTGAAGGGTCAGACTATCTAGTCTGGGTGGAGTCTTATTTCTATTAGGAGTGATTGAGGTATTGATATAATTTGGAGAAAATTTGGGAGTTTTAGACTAACAAAGACGCCCACAGGACTACCAAAGCTAGGAGGTTGCACCTGTAAAATATCTGGTATCGTTACAGACTGCAAATTCAAAGGTCAGACCATCAAAACCCGGATGGTTTATCAATTATCTCTATTTTTGGGGGTGTCTCAGACGAAGGCTGTTAGCCGGCAGATTGTACACGTGCTGATATCCGATATCAACAACACTAGTTTCCATTCCATTTCACATGTGCAGTGTAAAACCACCAACTGTCACACCACAAAAACTCACGATGGTTATGTGTTTGTTATGTCACGTTACCAGTCGAACGATAGGGATTGGACAGCATCGCCTCTCCCTCGATACTTCAACATGAAGCCAGCATAGACAAGCTTGGGGGTCCAAGCAAGCAGCGCTTATAATTAAATAGAATTAAATTATCATAAACTCAGACCGCCTCGTCTATAGTCTAGACCATTCCCACACTCTGATTGGACAGTTTTAGTCACGTGGGCTGTTATCTGGCTGCTGATTGGACGAGGAGAAGGAGGCGACCACTTCTTTGATGTGAAGAGTATCGAGGGTGTTTCGAGAGAGAATCACTGGATCGTTTTACTGGATTGCTACTAAATTACCTAAACAAGGTCCAATGATGGAATATTTGGAACTCATTTGGTTCAATTAGATGGAATTCTTGCAATTCTTACTTTCTTACAAACCTTTGATACATCATCTAACGTCTACAAAGTCAATCCAATAAAGTAGATACAACCGTCAAACAGCATGTTTATATGGATTGGTTTAATCACCTCTGATCTGTATTCAATCAGTGACACTGTCAAAGGTATCGTATTGTGGAACATTGATACATCACACATGTTTGGTATACAGTCTGTTCGTACCCTATCAGTATATGGATGATTATGGACAGTAATGAAGAAATGAAATGCTCAAGAATACCTATAGGTAATGCACGGTGTGTCCCAAAAAACGCCACCAAGCGACTTTTGTTAATTACTCTTGAGCTGTTTGAGACCGTCACCTATAATTAAAATTGGGTGTGGGGTATGAGACCTCTATTGTTTTGCCTTGAAATACTAAGCAGGAATCTTTAACTCATTATAGGTTTTTAAAGTAACGTCCCACAAATATTACTTAACTTAATTAGTGTTTAAACTTTGGTTATATTCTGATACGTTTTCTTATCGACATAACAATATACTGTTGACCATTCTCCTAATAAAGAAACGAAGGTCGAGAAATCAATTGTGGACAGCGACAGTATTTCACTCACCTACATGGCAGAGGCGCACCTATTTGCAATCTTTCTGACGTAAAACAA